AGAGAGAATCATTACCAAATATGAGTGTCAGAAACTAGGCCGATGGCAGTGTCAGAAACTACAACACAAGAAATTTTAAGTGTCAGAAACTGGGTCTTCAAACATCACTTTTTAAATCATTAATTAAAATTACTAATTCGCTTCAAATAATTATATCGCGTATATGAGTTTTTCTAGAAACTCTGAACTTGTTTATAGTATAAAAATTATTTATTCTAATTAAATATTATTTTAGTTATCGTAATATAATCTCAGCTGTCACTCTTACAGTGTCAGAAACTGGGCCTTTTACCTTATTAATGATCACTAAATAAAAATGAGATTACAAACAATCATTTTAGGAGTCACATTTCTTTAGGCGTGATGAGAGTAAAAATGTAGTACAGTCGAACTTGGATAAATGAGAAAACTCTATAAGCGACAAAAATAGTCAGGTCCCGTCATTTTTAGCCCCCAAAAACCTCTATGAGTGACAGTGTGAGTACCTCTTTTAGAGAGAGTCATTTTTCATTTCTAGACCTCTATAAGTGACAGTTTCTTACTGTAGACCTCTGTAAGCGAGACTATATACAATTACTAGACATTTCCAACACACTTGTGTGCTTATTCCTAATACCTGCTCATGGTACTGATCCTCTACATTTGGTTTCAGTTGATAACAATCATTGGAGAAAGCCTGCAATGAGACAATTCCGAAATTGGGCACGCCTCCAAGGAAAAGATTTTGAGGCAATGACAGTTGTGTAAAGGCACCTGGTGACATAACTTCTGCNTTCTAGACCTCTATAAGTGACAGTTTCTTACTGTAGACCTCTGTAAGCGAGACTATATACAATTACTAGACATTTCCAACACACTTGTGTGCTTATTCCTAATACCTGCTCATGGTACTGATCCTCTACATTTGGTTTCAGTTGATAACAATCATTGGAGAAAGTACGGATGACGTTGTTCCCTCATAATGTTGAAGCGAAAAATTAACTGATTTTTTTAAATTTAAATTTTATTTTATTTATTTATAAATCAAATAAGTACCTATTTATAGCCAAATGTTTATGTACTTATTACGCCCTACCACCATGTTTATGTTCGATTTTTATTAACCTCTATAAATGAGAAAACTCTATGAGTGAGAATAATATTCGTATCCCTTACCCAGGTTCGACTGTATTTGACCAAATTCGTTTATTAAGCGATATCTTTCAAAGAACTAAGCTTAAAATTGTTTCGCTCACCCTTGGTTGAGGTAGAGTGCCATAAAATCACCGAAGCCATCGACTCGATGGCCGTTATATAAAACGAGTCCATTAGGAGTGTTAGGCTTTAGGACAATCTCCAGATCGAGCCATGTAAGAGTGTCATCTCCGAGTCCTCGATATCGTAAGTAACTGGAACCGTTGAACGCGGGAACGTGGAGATCTACACGTATTTCACACAGGTCTCCCGAAAATCCCAGCGGACACAGGCATACTGCGGAACCTTCACTTTGCAAACATTTTCCTCCATGTTGACATGGAATGCGGCTGCATCTGTCCGCTGTGCACTCCTCTGCAACAATTTAGTTCTTGCAGAAAAATGAGAATGACTCAAAAACAGGACAACCTCAAAACTAGATTTGTTGGAATAGAAAATTGCAAGGTTCACAGGTTGTATAACCGGCAATTACATACATCACTACAATCATAAACATATCCCAAAATTGATTCTGTAGCATATTTTTCTAATGAAGTGTAATTCCTTTTATAATCATCCGCCCGAAGACTGGTTGATTAAGCAATTCCACTTCCTTCCTGTCTTGAGTCAATCTCCGCATTTCTTGGAAACTAAAGTAATCTAATTTTCTAACTATAATTTGCAAACTTGTAATCTAATGTAGGTCTACATCTGCTACTCTTAACTCCTGTTTTTGCACCTAATATGTCTCTAGCTAGCTTTTATGTCTGAGAAGGTGCCCTTTCAACCAATCAAAGATTTAAATTAAATATTTTTGAAATGTACCCAGAGCTTAGTTTGCTCAAGTATATCAAATGTCAAAATGCAGACAGTGTTTTACATGTATCTTCATGACATGCGATTTACTCAAGCACTCGTCAGCCGTGTACCTAGTCGTCCCGCACTCTTATTTAAGTACATAGCATACCTTCCACTTGAAATTCACAAGATTAGCAGAAAAATGTCTAAAACTTTTTTGTAGTTTTTGAGGTGTTATGTACAGTCAACATGACGTACTGACGAAGAGCTTAAATAAGAAGATTTTATACGTATCAATGTACTTTATTTTGTATTTAATGTTTTCCGAAAGGAAATACGTAAATCTACTTAACGACTTTGAATTAATAAATATTTACTGTTTATTTTGAAAATTCTGCTTTATCTCCTTCTTGTTTTTTTTGCTATTTTGAGTCCCCAGCAATTGCTCCGTTTGAATTAGATTCACTACTCATTAAATTTACTTGTTCTCTCATCCTTTGGGTGGAGAATTCGTACTTGCGCAAAGTTTACAGAGCCTTTAATCTAGACGAAACTGGAGCTTACTTCGAATGATAATTCAAATCTTCAACCCCATCTATTTACATATTCTTTGTGGCTTCTAAGGGAATAATTTTCTTGACTTACATAGGTATCTAAGGAGAACGTTAGGAATTAGTGTTAAACGAAGGGAATAGCAAAGTGAAAACTAAAAGAATCGAAAAACTGTTTTATACTTCCTTAACTACGAAGCGCAACTGAATCTCTGTTTTTGTTTGTAAGAGAAAAGATCTCAACCATCCTTTTGAAAATTTAAATTAAAATATGTGTTTTGATTTAATAATAAAATTGCTCTGCAACCTTTATTCAAAAGATATTTTATTTACGAAACGAGCAAGTGAAACTAGCTATAAAATGCGTTAATGCAGGTGACATTAAATTTTATGTGACATTATTTCTTACTTTGCTCGGTTTTTCGTAGCTAATGTAGGCAACTCGCCCAGGAAACGCGAGCACACCATCTTGACCATTATTTGAAAAAATCGGATTGTTTATGCTTGTCTTAATATGCAAAAACACTATCGTGGTAATATCTCAGAGAATGATGAAGTTGATTTTTCAATTTTTTGACTAAAATTTCATTTTCGTAAAGGCAAAAAATTATTAGAAAATTTTCATGTTGGTCAAGTTGTCAAAAAAATGACTGATATCTCAGACAAAATTTTCGTTACACCAATAGTAAGGCGTACATTTTAAGTAATTTTACAGACAAAACTAATAATCTACTTTTGTATGTAATTTAATGTTCGTGTATAGAACTTTTTAATGGTGTAACGTAACATGTAAACAACAGTACATCCAATTATGACGCGAATTTATATACCTCTACATTGACTTTGGCATTTCTTTTCGTCTCTCACTTGCGTTTTGAAAATTAATATTGGAGAACATTGAACAACAAGAAACATTGTGCAGCAGCTGAAATCGGCTGTACGGGAACATCGCCCTTGCAATGATTTTAAATTTCCTTTAATGTAATAACGACATTTTTTTGTCATAAACAAGAGACTGATACTGTCCTGATTCGGGTCTAAAGATCGTCGTTGGTTAGAGTTGTTTCCTAAACGTTTCTCTAACACGAGTGACGAGATTTTTCAGAGGTCTTTCCAGTTCACATCCAGCACTGGAAATGGAAGGATCTCTGAAGAAGCTCGCCAATTGTACTAGCGAAACGTTGGGAAGCAACTCCAACCGACGACGGCATTAGTCCACCTAATGGTCGCGAAAGCCATTACCAATAAACAAAATATGTTCAAAAAATTATGGTAAACTGGTATACGAGCTATGTCTCAGTAAATGTGAAAATTCATTTTCAATTTTTTATCCACTACAAATTACCTCTAGAGAAGTAAATATTAGAAAAGAAATTAGACGGGGGTGCACACTGTCACAGCTACTTATTAAATTAGACGAAAAATTAAAACAAGTGGCTGATTTTAGGTATCTAGGAAGTCAGATAAGTTAGGACGGAAGGAGTGGTAGGGATATAAAGCAGAGGATAGGGCAGGGTCGAATCGCCTTCAATAAAAACAAGTCACTCGAAAAACGTAATTAAAGGTGCATGTTTGGAGCACGGCGCTGTACGGGTACGAAACATGGACAGTGAGCGTGGTGGAAAAGAAAAGGTTACAAGCGTTCGAAATGTGGTGTTTTATGCCGTAGATAGAGAAGATTAGAAATGAAGGGGAATTAAAAAGAATAGGAGAACGGAGAAGTGTATGGAAGTCAATAAGAAATAGGCGAGATAGGTTGGTAGGACACATTCTCAGGCATGCAGGTCTAGTCAGAAACATTAGAGGCAGAAACGGGAGCTAGGAGAGGTAGAGCTACACTTAGATTAGATTACTGTTCGCAAATAGTTAAGGATGTGGGTTGTTCTAGTTTTAGGGAGGTGCGAAGATTAGCTGAAGATAGGAAAGAGTGGAGGTGCGTGTCTAACCAGTCTTAGGACTGACGACCTTATGATGATAATAAAGTGCCTCAGGCTATTCAGGGAAAATTTATTGATGCTATCCTACCCTTTGGCTTTACACACCAATGATCTGACACCTAAGATACGAGAGAACTACTGAGGTAGTTTATAGTGGATAAAAAATTGAAAATGAATCTTCACATTAATATCAATAAAGTTGTTCCAACAAACAAAACTACGACTTTTTTTCAAGATGAATCGATAAATTTTGCATTTTCAGCAGCTGGGCCAAGTTTACCGTGACAGTTATTGTATATGATTAAAATTGATGTAAAACATTCAATTTGCTATTCACCGTTTTCTTTTTTTATCCTTGTCAACTCGTGTTTTCCTTTTTTTAAGAAGTATCATGTACCAAACGCTGCAGCTATTGTCGGTTAAATTCAATTAATTTCTATACCTACCGGTTTGCCGTCAACTGCCTTTACTGTAGAAATTTGAAATTGCAAAGCGGCTAGATAATTTATTCTGACGGAAATTCTACCTTAAGAGTGGATAGCTTGTGATTCAATTAATTTGCTGGCAATATAGCAAGCCTGTAGGAAGGTACTTGTGTACCAGGAATAACGGACAACTTCCTGTTTAATCGGAAGTGTACCCAGTGTTTCTTTGCTGCTGCTTCCTGATGTTTACGAAGAGGTTCGTTTTTCACATTTTAACGACAACTTCTTAAGACCTTTGTTGCTCTATTTGCTGCTATCAAAAATTAAGAGCAGCTTTCTGATTAAATCTGACTTTGTATATTCTAGTTCTTTGAAATTCCTTTTACTAGTAACCGACAAAAGATAATCACTCGTAATTACCACAACTAGTTATTACAAAAGAATGAATAATTTTAAATAGCACTTACACATAATAGGATATTCTAAAAAATATACAAAAATAGATTGTTACCTTTCCTTCTTTGCGGAACTGCTATTAAAAAAATCAGGGCAGATAATATTTCACATAAGCTTTACAAGAAAATTTAATGAAATTTATAGAAATTAATTTTACAAGTTATTTTAGGTTTTTGAAAACTTTATGTTTTCATAAATACTATATTTGTTAATGCAACATATTTTATTTTGAAACTCATGTCTTTATACACATATACTTGGAGAATGGCTCTGTACGGGTGCGCGTGAACTGTGGACATAGCGGAAAAGGAAATGTTGGAAGTGTTTGAGGTATAGTGTTGGAAGAAAAATGAGAAAAAAAAATCCAATGCCCTGGTTAGTAGTCTAGATTGACAAACGATTAATTAGCGGTTAATTATGAGACAGGTTTCAGCTGTCTAGCTTACATGAAAACGGGTACGGGGGTTTCTCGGGTCGCGGCTAATTTTTGGCTTTTGCGGGTACTTTTTCAATTGTGTATGCTTTTGATGCCTGCTAATTTTGCTATACCAACTTAGAGAGGGGTGAATGGTTTCAGTGTAAATGTTTGTGGTAAATCCCATTGTGAACCTCTGTAAGTACGTATTTTCCTACGAGGGTGGATTGATAAGTTTCCGGCCTGACCAAGAAAAACAAGGTTTTTAAAAATTTTTTTTTTTTATTTCTCAACATAATCTCCTCCAAGGCTGATACATTTCTCATAGCGGTGTTCCAGTCTATTAATGCCATCTCTATAGACTGATTCGTCAAGCTCCTCAAAATAACCATTTACAGCTTCGATTACTTCTTCATTGTCCGCAAATCTCTTACCGCCAAGCCATTTTTTGAGATTAGGGAACAGAAAATAGTCACTCGGGGCTAGGTCTGGAGAGTAAGGAGGGTGCGGCATCAATTCAAACTTTAGATCGTTGATTTTAGCCGTCGCAACGATTGACGTGTGCGCTGGTGCGTTATCGTGATGAAACAAGATTTTTTTCTTCGCCAGATGAGGTCGTTTAATTTTCACCTCGTGGCTCAAACGTTGCAATAAGTCTGCGTAGTATTGACCAGTGATAGTATTACCCTTTGCAAGGTAATCAATGTATATAATACCTCTTGCATCCCAAAAAACAGTAGCCATAACCTTGTTCGCCGAAAAAATTGTTTTTGCCTTCTTTGGAGTTGGTTCC